TCTTTCGGGAGAGTCCCCGGATCTGTCATAATTTTCGGCGTTTCCTGGGCCGGGTTTGTTAAGGGCTTGATCGGGCTTGGCAAGAGCATTCTAGATTCTAGATTGGTTTCATGGCATGGTGAGGCCTGCATGCCTTAGGCCTACGAGGCATAAGCCGCTGAGGTGAAGCCGGGACTCGCTTCTTCTCACGAAATGCTTCAACCTAGGGTATTGAAATCTTGAAAGGTTGGCCTACCACAGACCATAATTAGACTGCAACAGAACGGAATGGATTGGAACAGAATAGAGTAGGTGACAGGATGTATGGAGATGTGCTAGAAATGTGCACTAAACATGGCAGATACAACAAATGTAGATACAAACAAAGGAATTTCACAGCTTGTGCAAGAATGAAGAACGGAATCTTGCGGAATGCAGAAGAGTACGCTGTAGGATCATATGTTTGCATACATGCACACCCACACACACACACAGAGACAGAGAGACACCCACCATACCTGCCCGGGTTGACGGCTGAGTCAACTCTTTTTAGGCGAGCGAGGAGTCGCTTTTGGGCAGCAGCATTGCATGTCTCTGAAGCAAGCAGAAGCTCTGGTCCATAGAATCACCCTGCAGTAGCTCCGGGCAAGTGGCGGACGTGCTGTGGCCCGGGAGGCGTCATATTCGTGCCTGCGCTCTGCTGGCCCGCAAACCCTATTCCTTATGGATTCCTTCTATCCGGAGGGCACCACACCCAGTGCATATCTATGCGCGCATAAGCATGCTTAATGTATTCTTCGGCTTTCTAGGACTATAGGGAAGAACTACCTGAGAACGATACTGACAATCCGTAGCCGGTGGAGTTGGGGGGGGACTCGCAGGTCGGTGGTAATTGGTGATTAGGTTTAGGGTTTAGGGTTTAGGGTTTAGGGGACAGCTGCATGAACCCTGCTGCGGTCCGTCGTTCCAAAACCCCAAACCCTGGCGCCTCAAACCAAACTCTGTAGCCTCAAACCCCAAACCCTGGGGCGTAAAACCCCAAAAAAGGAGGGCTCTCGGCTCAAAGCCGAAAGCTGAGGATCTCAGGACTTCCAACCTTAAGATGTTGCGGGAGCAGCGGCACAGGGCTCTTGGACTCGGCGGGCATTGCAAGTGGGGTGAGTGTTGGTTCTGGGCTTCTTGCTGATTGGGCATGAGAAGGCTTACTGCCGATGGTGCAAGAAGTCTGCATGACTAGGACATCGTCAGTCCAAAACTCCAGGAGTTACTATGGCACAGCAGCGGGATGTGATCTTGCGATTTCGTGCTCCAGGATTTCGAAGCTTCGAACACAGAACCTCGATGCCCCCCACCGCCGTCCTAGAAGGCAGATGATCTTGTCCAGGGTCGGCAGCTTGTGCAAGTCGTAGTGTTTGTTGTTGGCCAAACACGCCTAAGTGGAAAAGGGCTGGACTCTGAAAGTAAGCCTTGACTGCAATGTTAGATGATCGAATGCTGTTTTTGAACGGAACATTTCATGTATTCAGTTTGTTGTATATTATGCTTGTGTGTGAATCTGTGTAAAGATGTCACGAAGATGTCTATAGAGCAGGAGCACTGTAAGGATTACGGTATGGACTAACTAGAGTGGCTAGAAAATTGAAGGGCTGACAGTGCATGCTTGCAAGAGTCATGACAGAAATGTGGCAGAAGAGATCAACAGGCTTATGCATCCAAGCCAGTAATGCTTGCGTATGCCTCCTGGGGATGCATGGAGAACAGCTTTAGCTTCAGGGTCAGATTGCTTCGCCCACAACTTCACAAGCTATCGTCGAGTTTAGTGATACAGCTACTGCCGAAATCCTCTGACATGCCAAACATTGCAGTGACGAATCGCTGAACACCTTACTCCGTCTCACACGTCACGGCTCAAACACAGCGTTCCCACTGGTCTCTGACATAACTATGGCTTGATATGCACGAGGGCCGTACCCAAATAGTGCATAGAGGCCTATTCACTAAGTCCCTGCAAACACCGCCAAGAGAGAAGTCACTACCAATCCTTCTAAACCCTAAGACCTACTACCAATTCGGCAACGAAGTTGCCCGCACCATGGCGTCGGCGTGGCCGCACTTCGGGCAGTACATATTGCCCCAGCCATTCATAGGCTCGACCCGGCAGTCAGGACAGGGGCCCTGCGCCGACTTCGGCTTCGAGGTCACGGTTTAGGGTTTAGGGTTTAGGGTTTAGAGTTTAGAGTTTAGGGTTCAGAGTTTAGACTTTCGGCGCTCACACTCGGACAAACCAGGCGAGGCATGTAGGTTCGGAGTCATACTGAGTGAGACTTCACTAAGAGGAGGTGTCAGTGCACGCACCAACAAGTATAGCAACACATAAAGTAACTGTACTGCGGAAGACCCATCCTCTACTCAAGAGTTTAGACTTTAGGGTTTAGGGTTAGCACACCCCCAAGTTTCGAAAGCAGTGGATAACCAAAATGCCCTCCACCGTCTACCGTCTGGAGGATGATGGGATCTTGAAGTCAGGGCCTCGAGAATCCTGTTGAGAGCATATGTAAGCACACGAAAGCCCGACGCCGTAAATCTTGCTACACTGGACACGGAAGTTGTGAATTCTAAGAGCTCTGCGTGGCACCGTCTATCCTCAGCCGAGTGTTGCTGTTTCCGCTACGGAATACCAGACGCTGGGTTGTAATAAAATTTTATTAACTACCCAGAAATATTTAGGAATACAGTACCTCGCTAAAAGCTTGAGGGTAGTTGAAAAGTAGCCCGAAAAAGTGCCAGGTTAGGGGTCATTTTGCCGGCTGGACTTTGTGCTGCTGTCAGGCTTGGTATGGCTTGGTTTGTGGCTGCAGGGTTTAGATTTTTTCTGTCGCTGGGTATGCAAGTAGGGTCCAGGGTTCAAGGCTCCGGTGATGGTGACGATTGGGAATTCGTGGCACGTGTACACGGTTCAGGTCCGGAGTCTTGGGCGGTTTTGTGTGCTATTGACCGGGCCTTGTTCTCTGCTCCCACCGACAAATGAGCCGAAATGTATTTCGGCTTAGTCCGATGATATGGGCACCCGGCGAGGCAAAATTGATTCTCCAGAATCTTCGTATTTTGGTTGGCATGCGCCGCCGAAACACATATGTTTCCGGTATGTTCGTGTTTTGTGTGCGTTCTACGTTATTGGTCCAATACTGTGGCAGAGCGGCGAGACACCAATACGGCAACACCCGTGTGAAAACATGCAATTTCTGTTTAACAAAATTATTGCGTGCAAAGATTTAGGACTTGCTTCGGCGTCGAATCCTGCATAATCTGTTTTCGTGGGATCGTTTCGTTAGGATGTCGGTGCAGCATTGCGGCGAAAGAGCAGGGCATCCGCGCTGTACACAAAAGCACGAAAGGCACTAGCTGGTGGGTAAGGTTTGATTGAAGAGGTGGGCTACAAGCCAATGCCATAGGATCCGTGACGATACCTCTGTGCCAAGGAACACGAAAGCAGACATGCACGGTCATGTGCACGCTGGGTCGCCCGAATCCGGACCCTCAAATTCATCAAGGCACACGCGTTGAAGGGCCCAAGCTCCCATACCCAGAAAGTCGCAAAAAGGAACAGCCCAAACCTTGAAAGCCAGCGTAACGATGCCTGCCGCTCCCAGTTCTTGCCAATAACGACGGGCTTCTTGACAGGACCGTTCCTCAGACGCCCCAAACTCGGATCTTCTTAAGGAATCTAAGTTAAGTTAGCATTGCAAGAAAACCATATGTTTTCCAGTAGGTCCCAGTATGGTAGCTTAAATGTTCGCTCGCACACCTCGTTTGGGGTTTGGGGGCAGGGTTTAGTTACGCTCTCGCAACTCGGACAAGCCAGACGAGGTCTCACAGGTTCTGTCGGACTGCAGGGGGTTGCTCGAGTCAGGCTGGGAGGACGACAAGGAGACGCAAGCTAAGGCCAAAGGCTACACCTGACTCGAAGCTCAAGTTAGCAACTTTGACTTATCAGCGAAACAGGTCCTGCAACATCAGACGAGAAAGGATAAGAACAAACAAAAGCTGAGGTAGGTCCACAAAACCCGGACCTGAAGTGGAACCTACTGCACTACAAAGCCGACGCACTCAGAGGTCAGCTGAACACAGACGGTTGTGTACGGAGAAGAGAACCTAAAGGTATATGCCCCATACCTCCGAAACAATTTCAGCACTCACTCTCGGACAACCCTTGGCGAGGAAGGGTTCATAGATCATAGGTCAGAAAAATACCATGTGTTGAGGAGGGGCCGCCGTGCACAGACCCTCTCTCATATTCCATACCAGACCTACAATGAAAAGTCTTTACGGGGCTCCGAAATCCATGATTCTTGGGTTCCCACGGTGGAGACTTCGGGGTCCGGGTTCATGAGAGCTGTCAGGGCTGATGCTCGAGGTCTGACGCTTTCGAGGTTGAGGGTTGGACGTTGCCTGAAGTGGCCTTGAACGGGACGTTGACTCTTTTTCCGTCGGCCATGATCATGACTTTGCTGGCTGGCTGGTCATTGTCCGCTTTCAGATTTTTCTGCTTGTACTGAGTTTGGTAGCTACCCGAACCCTACATCTTACAATCTACCCTCCATGCTCTGAACGCTCATTGGTGTTTTCAGCATGCAGTCTCACAGGTCACAGGTACACCCTGTCCACCGACGGCTTCGCCGTTCTTCCCAAGAGTCAGATGTGAAGCCTCATCATCACTACTAGTATTCATGTTGCTACTATTCCTAACGGCATAGGCTGCGGTTTAGAGCTTCTGGTTTAGGACTGTTCCGGGTTTCGAGTTTCGGCATTCCCCGGTGGAGGTATCTGAGCTGGGGAAGTAACAAACTTCGAGTTGATGGGAGCTGCACCCCAAATGAGCCTCTTCGAGGATGACCAGGGATGAACAGCCCCTGCGGGAAGGACTCAAACAGCACATGGTCTCAAAGGACTTCGTGCTACAACATCGAATTTCCGCTTCAGTGCACCATGCCTCAGAACAGAACACAGAACACACTTTACTGTCATACGGTCTTGGTGAAAATTACATCGGTTGCCATCCCCGCTTGCCCGTCCGGGTCCGTGAAGGTGGCTGCTGCTGCTGGGAAAGGAACTTCTATGACGCTTGGTTCGTCTCCAGGAGTCACCTCCACCACCTCTGCCACCATCTCTTCTTCGGGATTCTCATCTCCCACACTCTTCCTGCGCTGACGCTGGAAATGCCGTGCTGCCATGACAACGAAGCCAACGCCCACGATAAAGAAGGAGATGAACATGACACCACTGAGGTCGTCGAAGCTCATTGCGATGTCTTGCTCGTCAGCCTCCGCTGCACAGATGGACTCCGCGAAGAGCTCGCTGTTCGAGCGCTTCGCATCCTCCATGACTCCACCGGTGATTGCATAAGTGAAGGCCCAGGACAAGCTATGCGCCATCGCATCATTGATCGGGAATGACAAAGGCACGCTCCAGAGGAGGTCACCAACTTTGAGAAAGCTGCAGTCCCGCTGCTCGTCTCCATCCCAGCACTGGGCTTCCTCCTGAGTCATGGTGCCGGCATGAAATGCAGCACAGTCGGCCTCCCTCACCTTCCCGGCGAAAACCCTGTCGATGACATCCTGCGACAAGACCATAACATCGCACTGCCCTGCATGAAGCATCCTTACTTGTGTTCATTGTCGCATAGACCAACGCTCTTGGAACAGAGGGGTTTCCTGCACACAAAAAGCTAAATGCTGCTGTCTGTGTGGAGCATCCTGGGTAAAGTCTGGATATCACCGGCCACAAATACGGCTTGTGGATAAACACCTGTGAACGTTTGGATTAGCGACGTGGGAGCACAAATTGTCTGGCCATCATTAATGGCATCCTCGATGGAATTGATGCTCGCACTTGGGGTGTTCTGAATCACCAGCACGGATGCCAAACTCGCCGTGTAGCTCGCGAGGGTGATGAGGATGAAGAAAGCAAGCGCAAGGCTGAATATCTGCCTAACCGGTCCACTCTCCTGGACTTGATTTCGACGCAAAAAACACAAGCGAACGGTGGCATGACGACTCTATGTTTCCACTTGTTGTAGATATGTAATATATATATATATATATATATATATACATATATATATATATTCACACATATGCACATATATCTGTATATGTGTGGCTGCTTCTTGATTTATATATACACACACATACATACATACATACATACATACATACATACATACATACATATGTACGTACGATATGTATACAGACACATAAACCTAAATATATATATATATATATATATATGTATATATACATATAAAAACATATACACATACACATGCGCATGTGCTTCACAGTTCACGAATTAATCCAAGTATCCACGTCCATGCTGCTCTGGCCCAGGAGGAAGTCGTGCCAAACGAAGAAGAGGGAGCGTAGAAGTGCAACGACGTTCGTTTTGCAAATCGTCTTGGCGTCGCCATGGCAGCCCGTCTCACACACTTGCCTGAGCCACAGGAGCACCGACATGATGCAAAGGAATCCCACCACAGCGCCCCAGGCACCGGGAGTGAATGGTTCGAAAGGCTTCGCCAAGCGCTGCCAGAGAGTAAGGTCAGCTGCTCCCTCAGAGCCTGTTTTGACCATGAGGTAGAAGTAATCCTGCCGAACAGCTGGCAGGAAGGTTGTCAGCTGGTTCCTCTCTGGTGTTAGCCAGAGATCTGCGATGCAGATGTCGAAGTTTCCGATGGCGACATCGTGCACACATGCCGTGTAGGAGCTTTCCGGATACTTATCTCTGGACTGCTGCGTGGCCCATCCGGGGACGACTTCGAGCACCGGCTTCGGGTCAAAAACCGCTTGGTCCAAGGAAGCCTTCAAAAAATCAAAAGACGGACCACCCCAAACTTCCTCATTCATGGAGTTGGTAGTCTTGACGATCCATGGCGCCCACGCATCCGCCGCTGCACGGATCATGCGCCCAACCACCGGCTCCACAAGAATTTGGGGGTCGTAGTCGTTGACTGAGTCGCAGGTTTCGTAGCTGTAATGCATATCTGAGATATTCAGCAGGCTGCTGGGGTTCCGACCACGGGTGCGGCAATGGGGAGACACATCGCTTCCAATCGTACCGCCCGCATCCTCGCACAGCTGCCTGTTGTAGGGGCACAAGTCCTTAGTTGCTGAGTTTTTTCCCAGTTGCTGAGTTTAGGGATTAGGGTTTAGGGATTCAGAGGGTTAGGGTTTAGGGTTGAGTTCATAAGCTCCAAAAAGTGTACATTTTCGGCTTCATAGTGTGTAACATTCTCCCAAAAAAGTAAAGTGTATACACTCAGCTATACTAAGAGTCCATGTCTACGAGACACCAAGGATTCTGGCAGAATGACTCCTGATTCTGCTCACACCCGAAGAGAGAGTAGTTCGAATCATGAGCTGCACAGCCTGTGATGCCGTAGGTGGGCCGTATCCCACCTGCGATCAGGGCATTCTCGTATTGAGTGAACTTGGCGGAGCTGTTGGTAATGCACGGGCACTCGGGATATCCAGAGCTGCCGGATGCTATGACCACCGGCAGGAAGAGCCAGAGTGCGAGGCCTCTGGCCTTCATTGCCGCCATGCTAGGAACAACTCAGAGCCAACAAGGCTAAGGCGCGAGCCTTGGAGTCTTCAAGTCCAAAGTCAGCCTCAAGCCTGCCCCGATCTGCCACCCAGCTCGCTAAGGCCTGCTACACCCTACCCACCGCCAAAACAAGTTCTCTAATCCGTCTGGAGATCAAGAGCTCGAAGAATTGAAGCCCTAGACCCCCGACTTTCCTTAATCCTTATTACATGAAGGTTCAAGAGCACTTGGACGCCTTGTTGGAAGAAGCCTACCCACCGTTGACTGGCTAAGTCCTGCGAACATTTCAAGCAGCAAACCCTCCACCCTACACTGCCCGACACGATAAAACACCCTATAAATCCTAAACGCCCCAAACCAAAAACCCTAAAGCCCAGGCCAAACGCAGCCAAGCTTCTTGAAGAGGTCCGGACGCTCTGCCTCACAGCTTGGGCACGCACGTTTGTGTATAGAGCTTTTGTGTCCGTTCTACTATGTTCACTTAGGAACTGTAGCGGGAGTTTTGTGTAGGCCCTGCGGCCTTTCACTGCTGGGAGTTTCCAATGCAGGGTTTCAGCTTGTGGGTGTTTAAGGGGGTCCTCATAAAAAGGATCCTACTATTTAGGGTACTATATTTGGGGGGACTCTCGAAACTTGGACAATGCAGGCGAGGAGAGTTCGGTTCGAAGGGGGCAGCTCGTTGGCCACAAGTCGGCACAGGGACAGACCTCTCCCAGACTCCACTGAAAAGGACACAAAGTCCAGCATCACAGGCCTCAACACGATGTCTCGGATGAATGTCTGAGACATCGTGTTGAAGCCTGCAACATTATAGCGCTACAACGTCTGCGAAGTTAAGGTTTAGGTTTTACGATATGGATTCAAGGCTTCGACTCAGGGGCTTCGGGGACTTCGACTTAAGGGCTTCGGGTTGTCCGGAGCTCTCAGGGTTAGTTTAGGATTAGGAGTGGGCTGCCAGAGCCCCAAACCGATAACCCCCGGCTCTACACAATCCCACACATCCCCTGAAAAAACATGTTGTCCTAAACTCCCCCATTACACTTATAGTCACTATGACTAACGGAAGGTTCATTTATTACCACATATATATATATATATAACTATACAAATATATATATATATATATATATATATATATGTGTGTGTGTATATATATATATATATTTCTAATATCTGAGTGTGTGAGACTATAGTAAAGTTGCCACGCATCCGGAAGTGGCGAGCCCCTGTGATCAAGATCTTAAAGCCTGAATTGGCACCCCATTGCCTAAACCCGAAAGCCCTAAACTGCGCACCCTACCCCGAAACCACAGCGTCTTACTGAAAAAGGGCTTGAATATAGGGGCACAAGCATGGAGTAAGGCATCCAAGCCATGCGGGGATTGTAAACTGGATTCTTAAAACCGTCATCCTCTGGCTCTACACCCTAAACCCTTAAAACCCTAAATCCCCTGGCTTTCGTCGCTACTGCACCTTGACGCGATCGATGGGCGCGACACCCTTCCACGCGTCGATCACCTCCTGCGATGGACGAGTGCTTCCACGGCGGTGTGGGTGTTCGGACCTGAGGGCTAGGCCCCCAGACCCGAAAACAACCTCTACCCTCAAAGGGCTGCACTGCTGTAGTACTAGTACTTGTACTGGTACTGGTACTGGCACTGGTGGGAGTAGGAGTAGGACAGGAGGTAGTAGTAGTAGTCGTCGTCGTCGTCGTAGTGGTGGTAGTGGTGGTAGTGGTGGTAGTGGTGGTAGTGGTGGTAGTGGTGGTAGTGGTGGTAGTGGTGGTAGTGGTGGTAGTGGTGGTAGTGGTGGTAGTGGTGGTAGTAGTGGTAGTAGTAATGGTTGTTGTTGCTGTTCATCATCGCCATTGAACGTAAATGGCACCTCTTCATCCTCTTCGCCACCGGATGCCTCGCCCTTGGGTTTGAAGCCTCGGCAACTTCAAGAAGGAACCGAAAAGGTCGGGTCGGTGTTTTGAACCGTGCAGGGCTCAAAGGGCTCAAGTGGTTAGGGCGTCTACGATGCTACTCTGCAGGATTAGGTGGGATCGCGGTTCAGGAAGTGTAGGTTTTAGGATCGCAGGTTGGGGGCCTCGGTTGCTTGGCCTGTGTTGCAGGTTTCGGAGCTCACGTGCCAACAAGCACTGACTTCTGACTTGGCTGCAAGTGTTTGGGTGGTGTCCGGGTGCTCGGGCTTAAGCTCATAGGGACCAGAACCCTTGCTCGAGAGATGGGCCGAGGAACTTCAACAGTTCTAAAAGAAACCTGTCTCCGAAACACTGTCCTGAACCACACTCTGAGCCCCTGGAAATGAGATCCCACTCAGCGCCGGACCGAGTTGGCCTGGGATGTCGCGGTATGCTTAAATGGTATGATACTTGTCTTCGCCAAATTGAGGTTGTAATTGGGGTTCAATGAAGTTGTGCTCACTATGGGGGGCCTTAAGTTCAGGATAGGGATTGGGCCATGCCGCGCGCGGCATCCCACGAGGCGCAAAGGTTCTGTGGTGTGGTGCGCACTTTCGGCCACAATCTGCGTCTCTTCACAGTCCCTGGCCGGACGGGTCTGCCGTGAGGATTCCAAATTCATCGTGAAATCTATTGCTGTGGCGCTCCGGATGAACAGCACCGGGGCCAATGTGCAGTGTCTTGAACGGATTTAGGAGTGCCTTGTGCTTCCGCTCTCAAGAACGTGGTGTTTACGGCTCAGACGCAGAGAGTGCGGTATAGGAGCTGAACATGCAGGAGCTACGGTGCATGTGTGAAACCTTGAGGACCTAGACCCCCAACCGAAACCCTTTAGGTTCCTGCTTTCTTTGAATTTACGGCCGCGGCAGTTTGTGCTTTCCTAGTTCCTTGAGGACTCAGATCTTTGGCTTCGTAGTTTCCAAACTCCCGAGACCCTAACCCTGAAGATTCCCTCGCCCTGAACCCCAAACCCCGAAATTCTCCACACTGCTCTCCGGCCATGCTGCGGAACTCTTCGAGTACCTTGTCCAAGGAACGCCTGACGACCGGCAGTCGACTCTGACGGTTACTATGACTGGCATTGAGCTGAGGCTTCAGAATATATGCGTTCGAGAGGCTTGGCTTTGTGGTTGAAGGGCTTAAGGTTTCAGGGCCAAGTTCAGGGCTTCAGGCCTTCCGGGTTTGAAGCTGATCAAACCAGAAGCTTGTTTCAGGGCCAGAAACGTGATTGGGGATGTGCCAACCCACTGGCATCGTCTTCCGTCGCTTGTTGAAAACCTTACACGATCGATATCTTGCGGCTCCTGGGCATAACTCCGGGGATCTCACTGATCCACCCTTCATCGGCTTGGACATCCATGCACTTCCAGCGAGAACACGCAACCACACAACCAAGACACTGCCTCGCATGGGCCTACCCCGCTGTACTTCTGAGTAGCCCCTATATGATAACGGCACCCTTGTTCCTAGTACTCGGCTTCAATCAGGGAACCAAACAAGAGAGAGTGAAGAAGTGTAACTCAGGAACCTCGGAAGCTAGCTCCAACCCCCAACTGCAACTCCCAAAACCCTGCAGCTTTCATCCCGGAGATCTGTGGCAGAGTCCCCAGAATCACGTCTGCCGCTTTCACGCTTCCCCCCTGACCCTCAACCATAGCTACTTACAACCCAAACCCTCAACCCTACACCTTAAACCCAAACTTTGGCTGCCCAAGCCCTCCGGCGGCCTCTTGTTGCCGAACTGCTGCAAGGCTGCCTCCCAAGCCACCCGCTTGTTCACGTCCATGTGATACTCCTTTGTCTTCGGCTGCAGGCTTGAGAGCTCTTAAAGCTTTTTTCGGGTGGCCCCGCAAAGCTCTTCAGCTTTATGGCTTGGGGTTTATGGTTCCGAAGCTAAGCTTCAGGATTGGATGACCTGGCTGGGCAGCTGCGAAGCCCCTCACAACACTCTTTAAGCCCGGAAGCTTCTAAAAAACTGAAGGTTTTAAATGCCCTTGAAAAACTCCACACCCCATGAATCCGCCGAGGCCAGAGGCCCAGGCGTCTTGGGGGTTACCTCAGTCCACCTCCCTGCAGCCGAAATGATTGGGGACACCCGCGTTTTGCGTTCGTTTGCCACCCCCTTGCCCGGCTTCCCCTCATTTCCTGATTTGTCGGCCCCCTCCTCCCCCTCCCCTCCCCCCCCCTCCCCTCCACCCCCTGAAACCATAAACCTCTAAAGGGGTAGCTCTAACAGGTACCTACAGCAATGGCTGCATGCTCATACATATACATTCCGCTGCCCATTGGCTCACAGTGGTTTTACCATATTGAGACAATACAAGCTCTCCTTGCGTAGCAAGACAAAACAACTACTGTCCGTGTGCAGGGCGCTGCCCTTTGATCCTTAGGGAATAACTGGTCATACACCTCCTCACAAGGAGTATCCCTTGGGGGTGTATCGGCACAGTTTTCTGGTAGCGGAGCCCGGAAAGGGCCGCCCGCCTCACAACGTCCGCTACAGCGGTCGGCCTCGCCGAACGCTTAACCAAGCGGACAAGAGGCAGCACAATGTCGAGCTCGCATAGCGAAGCCGACGGCAGTTCCCAGTCCTCCGGGTGATATGAGAACGAAGAGACCTCCCAAGGTCCAGCTACTTATGTCGCACAGTCATATGCAACATCTGACCGCATGCTTGCATCATTAGGCATAACGCCCAAGATCGCGCCTGCCTATGATGGCACCACCTCGTGGTTTGAGTATGAACAGTTGATTGACGACTGGTGCGACATAACAACGCTGGATGACACCAAAAGAGGTCCGTCTCTCAAGACGAGGCTCTCCGGATTGGCCGCAGTACAAAAGGAATCACTGAACCGAGAAAGGCTTGCAGCCCCAGATGGAGTAGATTACTTCAAGAAGAAGATGCGTCCATTTTTCGTGAAAGGAGAACAGTACGTTTTCCTGTGGCGTTTCCTCGGCCTATTCAAGGCATGGAAGGGCAACCAAGACTTTGTGACTTGGATTGCTAAGTTTGAGATCGTGCTACAGC